ATGTCATATATTATCCACTATAATGATGCAATGGTAATGTATGAATCAGCTGGCGCTGCAGCAAAGTGGCCTGAGAATACATTCGTCTAGGGACGTGTTGCCTGAGTAAGTTAACGACTGCTTGTTCTTGGGTGATCGGACGTGTCCGCATCGTAACGCGACGTCCAGAAAAGTTTAGTTTGGTTTGGTTTAATTTTGTTTTACGTCCTATTAACAGCTTAGGTCATTTAAGGACGTGTCACACGCTTAGTTTCACATGTCAACTACGGCATGGGCTGCCAAAGTGACTGTGTTACAAATGGCGTTGGAATACACTGAAATTTTGGTAATTGGGTTTAAGGACTCACAGTTTTGCAGAAGTAACTTATTCAGCGAACCAATTTATTAAACAGCTTGTCGCATTAAAAAGACCCGCAATTATTAGACTCAAATTGGAAAATTATAGTTCAACATTTTAATTGATAATCTTAAGGCACGTATTACATTCAGAAACATACACAAATAATCCACGTGATACGTAATCAATCCCCCTTTTTTTAAATAATCTGTTGTACTGAGGACCATTACTGGTAGATATGATGTGTACTGTGTTATCAAGCAGGCCCCATCAGCTGGCAGAAAGAGTATGCCCACCTTTTAATGAACGCACATGAGCTATATTACAGGGAATGGTTGCATAAATACGGATAATCAAATGACGAACTTTGTGGTGAATGCCTAATTAGTTTGTACGACGACACACTATCTACTAATGCAGATTGTTTTTCAACTACCTTTGGGAGTTATGTCCTTAACATCGCCTCTTGGTTAAGTAGTAACTCTCCCATATGTAAATCATGTAGGATAGAAATTTCCGACCCTGGTTAAAGAATCTCGGCTTATATTCTGTACATATTATGGACATTTCTAGTCGCCATCTTGTTGCAAATGTAGTCGCCATCTTGTGGCAAATTACCAACTTTTTTAATATTGAACCAATTTTAAAATTATCTATACCGTTGAAAAAGTGCATCACAATTTCGTTTTTACTCATAAATAATCTTCAAATTGTTAATAAACCCAAATTTAGCGAATATAGATTACTTTAACTCGAAAATAAAATGCATCAGATTGGATTGAAATAATGTAAACCTTGCCTCGGCATGACGTCATCTCATTATGTTTTCATTGTGAAGTCAAACCCATGTAAGATTAATATCTTTCTTCAACTTGGGGGTAGGAACTAAACCACCCAACAGAGAGATAAGTGGGTATAACGTCACGTCAACAAATCATTTACGTCTCGCAAACAATAGCAGATCACGGCAAATGCTGGAAACTATGCAATCAACGCTTTTGAAGTGGGAGAAAAATAATCATTCCTAACTTTGGGGAAAATCTCGACCCTCAGGGAAAGATTCTTAAATGTTTGATCCTCGTCAAAGCTTTGGACTAGACTTTTAAAGAAGTGTACCCGTTGTGGGAGGGGATTTTTAGTCTTTTCCCCACGGTGGGGTAAAATTATATTAATCTTGCATGGTATTCCATCATTGGAAACCTTGTCTTAAATGACCAGCTGCATGTATGTAAGAAATGTAGTCCTCGTACATTGAACACATTTAAGCTAATATTTTCCTATAAATGTATGTAAATGAATGCTAAATGTACGCGTTGTCGGGCACAAAACATGAAAAAGCTTAATTATTAACAACTCCGAAGAATTTACCTGAGATACGCGTACGGATACTTTGACGCTGTAGCCATTATTACCTCGGCGTTTCACGTTTCTAAATACCCACTACGGCTACCCAAAGTTATTTCACCCCTCCTAGCGCTGAAGTCGCCGTATTGTGTAGGTTGATCATGGATTACAACATCGCCCTAGTTCCTGGCCAGACCTGCATATACGACCTTTATTGATTGTTCTCATTGTTGGACACAATTGTTAAAGAGTTATTACTTCTTCGAATGTGTCGACAATGTCCACAAATCACAATCACGGGCAATCAAAAAGTTACAACTAACAGAAATGTCATTCCTGGAGACGGCAACATGTCACCCCAACTACTGGTTACATTATTCTAATAACAAGCTAATCAAAGGTTTCTAGGGAGACATTGGGCTATCCAGATGTACATGTACCTAGGGAGACATCGGCTATCCAGAGGTACATGTACCTAGGGAAACAGTGGCTAACCAGAGGTACATGTTCCTAGGGAGACAGTGGCTTTCCAGAGGTACATGTACCTAGGGAGACATTGGGCAATCCAGAGGTACATGTACCTAGGGAGACAGTGGGCTATCCAGAGGTACATGTCCCTAGGGAGACATTGGGCTATCCAGAGGTACATGTACCTAGGGAGACAGTGCGCTATCCAGAGGTACATGTACCTAGGGAAACAGTCGCTAACCAGAGGTACATGTACCTAGGGAGACAGTGGCATTCCAGAGGTACATGTACCTAGGGAGACAGTGGGCTATCCAGAGGCACATGTTCCTAGGGAGACATTGGGCTATCCAGAGGTACATGTACCTAGGGAAACAGTGGCTAACCAGAGGTACATGTACCTAGGGAGACAGTGGCTTTCCAGAGGTAAATGTTCCTAGGGAGACAGTGGGCTATCCAGAGGTACATGTCCCTAGGGAGACATTGGGCTATCCAGAGGTACATGTACCTAGGGAGACATTGGGCAATCCAGAGGTACATGTACCTAGGGAGACAGTGGGCTATCCAGAGGCACATGTTCCTAGGGAGACATTGGGCTATCCAGAGGTACATGTACCTAGGGAAACAGTGGCTAACCAGAGGTACATATACCTAGGGAGACAGTGGCTTTCCAGAGGTACATGTACCTAGGGAGACATTGGGCTATCCAGAGGTACATGTACCTAGGGAGACAGTGGTCTATCCAGAGGTACATGTACCTAGGGAAACAGTGGCTAACCAGAGGTACATGTACCTAGGGAGACAGTGGCATTCCAGAGGTACATGTACCTAGGGAGACAGTGGGCTATCCAGAGGTACATGTTCCTAGGGAGACATTGGCTAACCAGAGGTTGCCCAATATACAGCGGGTTTACCAGAAGTGTGTAGGACGACAACGGGCTAACCAATGGTACAAATGGATAAAAAGGGCTACATGTAATCAGGAGTGCTTCGGGAGACAACGGACCAATCAATGGTTTATAGGATGACAACGGGTCAATCAATGGGTATAGGGATACAACGGGCCAATCAGTGTGTATATGGATACAACGGGCCAATCAGGGTGAATAGGGAAACAACGGGCCAATCAGTGTATATAGGGATAAAACAAATCAATCAGAGGTAAGCAGAGATACAACGGACCAATCACCGTGTATAGGATTACAACGGGCCAATCAATGGTTTATACGATGACAACGGACCAATCAGGGTGTATAGGGATACAACTACCCAATCACCGTGTATAGGGATACAACAGGCCAATCAGTGTGTAGAGGGATACAACAGGCCAGTCAGAAGTGATTGGGGATACAACGAACCAATCGGAGGTTTCTAATGGTACAATATACAACGGACAAATCAGAGGTGATTATAGAGACGCTACCGGAAGGGAAGACCATATAAGGGAACGAGCACTTGTTTGGGAGGGGCTTTTATACATATCAAAAAATGTATTAAGATCTTTTGTTCGTGAAAACGTAAGAAAGGGTTTATGAAAAGCAGTTCTCCTCCCCTTCTTTTACCCCTTCAAAATAAAAATAGTCATCCCTAAAAAGGAGAAGAAGCAGAGATCAAAAGTGTTGCAGTCGGGTTTCTCCAATGTTCCAGAGAGGGCGAGGGGGATTCCGCGGGGTTCCACATTCGTCATAATGGGCGATTAATTGGAACCCTGCTCAATCGGGATTTAAAATAAATGTTTCACGGATGTCTGTCGTGTAACGTCTCCGAAGACAAATGACCGTCGTATAACGTCTCCGAAGACAAATGACCGCCGTGTAACGTCTCCGAGGACAAAAGACCATCGTGTAACGTCTCCGAAGACAAATGACCGCCGTGTAACGTCTCCGAGGAAAAAGACCATCGTGTAATGTCTTCGAAGACAAATGACCGTCGTGTAACGTCTCCGAAGACAAATGACCGCCATGTAACTTCTCCGAGGAAATAGACCATCGTGTAATGTCTCCGAAGACAAATGTCCGTCGTGTAACGTCTCCGAAGACAAATGACTGCTGTGTAACGTCTCCGAGGACAAAAGACCATCTTGTAACGTCTATGAAGACAAATAACCGTCGTGTAACGTCTCCGAAGACAAATGACTGCTGTGTAACGTCTCCGAGGACAAAAGACCATCTTGTAACGTCTCTGAAGACAAATAACCGTCGTGTAACGTCTCCGAAGACAAATGACTGCTGTGTAACGTCTCCGAGGACAAAAGACCATCTTGTAACGTCTCTGAAGACAAAGGACCGTCGTGTAACGTCTCCGAAGACAAATGACTGCTGTGTAACGTCTCCGAGGAAAAAAGACCGTCGTGTAACGTCTCCGAAGACAAATGACTGCTGTGTAACGTCTCCGAGGAAAAAAGACCGTCGTGTAACGTCTCCGAAGACAAATGACCGCTGTATAACGTCTCCGAGGAGAAAAGACCGTCGTGTAACGTCTCCGAAGACAAATGACCGTTGTAGAACGTCTCCGAGGACAAAAGACCGTCGTGTAACGTCTCCGAAGACAAATGACCGCTGTATAACGTCTCCGAGGAGAAAAGACCGTCGTGTAACGTCTCCGAAGACAAATGACCGTCGTGTAACGTCTCCGAAGACAAATGACCGCCGTGTAACTTCTCCGAGGAAATAGACCATCGTGTAATGTCTCCGAAGACAAATGACCGTCGTGTAACGTCTCCGAAGACAAATGACCGTTGTATAACGTCTCCGAGGACAAAAGACCGTCGTGTAACGTCTCCGAAGACAAATGACCGCCGTTAACGTCTCCGAAGACAAATGACTGTCGTGTAACGTCTCCGAAGACAACTGACCGCCGTGTAACGTCTCCGAGGACAAAAGACCATCGTGTAACGTCTCCGAAGACAAATGACCGCCGTGTAACGTCTCCGAGGACAAAAGACCATCGTGAAATGTCTTCGAAGCCAAATGACCGTCGTGTAACGTCTCCGAGGACAAATGACTGTCGTGTAACGTCTCTGAAGACAAATGACTGTCGTGTAACGTCTCCGAAGACAAAAGACCATCGTGTAACGTCTCCGAAGACAAATGACTGTCGTGTAACGTCTCCGAAGGCAAATGACCGTCGTATAACGTCTCCGAAGACAAAAGACCATCGTGTAACGTCTCCGAAGATAAATGACCGTCGTGTAACGTCTCCGAAGACAAATGACCGCCGGGTAACGTCTCCGAAGACAAATGACCGTCGTGTAACGTCTTCGAAGACAAATGACCGCCGTGTAACGTCTCCGAGGACAAAAGACCATCTTGTAACGTCTCCGAATACAAATGACCATCGTGTAACGTCTCCGAAGACAAATGACCGTTGTATAACGTCTCCGAAGACAAATGACCGTCGTGTAACGTCTCCGAGGACAAATGACCGTCGTGTAACGTCTCCGAAGACACATGACCGCCGTGTAACGTCTCTGAAGACAAATGACCGTCGTGTAACGTCTCCGAAGGCAAATGACCGTCGTATAACGTCTCCGAAGACAAATGACCGTCGTGCAACGTCTCCGAAGACAAATGACCGTCGTGTAACGTCTCCGAAGACAAATGACCGCCGTTTAACGTCTCCGAAGACAAATGACCGCCGTGTAATGTCTCCGAAGACAAATGACCGTCGTGTAACGTCTCCGAAGACAATTGACCGTCGTGTAACGTCTCCATCATTGACACCGAAGTTGAACTCGGATTCCCAATGTGTAAAGTAACGCACCCGGACTTGTAACACGGATGTTCGTCTTGCACCAAGATGAAGGTGCAAATGTGTTTACGTTTTCTGTAAGCAGTACCAAAGACCACCATTCATTAAGGATGGAGACCTCCAACTGCTATTGATGGATAAAGTGTTACTTTCCGGTGGGTATCGACCCAGTCTGGGGACAGGAATGAGAACGCGAGTTAAGCCAAGGTAGAACGCATTCATGAATGGCAGGTAATTTGAGAAAGTCGGGCAAGCTAAGGATCGCTAGTTATGTTTACGGACTAACAATGGCCGTGCTGGTCGGTTCTGTATGCTCAACGGCAAACACACAATGCTATTCATTAATGCCCTCCATAATTCGTTTTTGAAAACATCTTTATATATGTATGTAAACGTTATGTACACAATCACAATGCCTTTGACTACTCACCAAAAATACAGAGAAAACAGATGAAAACTGTGATAAAAAAAAGAACTTATTTATTATGGAGGTCCACAGAGCAGATTACGCGAGGGGATCTATTTAGTGCAATGACTTAGTGATGTTTATCCTCAGGCCGGCAAATGTCCATCAATCATATGCACCACTGCCTTATATGGAAATCAACCAATTAACGTCAATTATTTTATGGTACGGGTCACTCAGTACATGACACGGGTATTCAATTATAAGGGACCATTCCTATATGACTTCAGATTGTTTACTGTTACTTCTACTCAAAGGTAGAACTAAACCTATAAACACCTGTATCCATTTAACATATATATAACTACTGTATCACCGTTATAACGTGTAGTAATGTCTATA